ATATATATATATATATATATATATATATATATATATATATATATATAAGTCACATATTTTTGCATAAATTTGCTAGTCCTGCGACTTAAACACCGAAGCGACTTGTATATGTTTTTCCCATATTTATAACCCAATATTTGGCTGAGATCTGACGATTTCATTCATTCTGACATGGAAAATATGGAACACTACCATTTTCTTGACCAATATAGCAAGCCAAGTGTCTCATTAATAGGTAAAAGTGGCTATTAATGAGACACTTGGCTTGCCATAGAGGCCACCTTCGTCTTGCTTCGGAACTCATGGAGCAAACGTCAAATCAGCTGCATTTTGCTGCATTGCCCAGGAGAAATGCAGCTGATTTGACCATAAAAGTGCATTTATTAAGGAAAAGTTCAACTGAAACACAATTTACTATAATGTCGAGCAAACAAATAATTGTTTTTAGGTGTTAATCTTCTTAAATTCATGTGAAAGTCCCTCTGTGCATGCTCCCGCGGCCACCATTTGGCAACCAATCGATTTTTGGCACAACACCTGCCTACGTTTCCAGGTGGTCAGCGGTGACGCCTAATAGATGCGACTTATACAGCGAAGTGTCTTATTTATTTTTTTCCACTTTATTATACATATTTGGACTGATGCGACGGTGTGACGTGTACGGCAGCAAGTATGGTACTTAAATACACTCCAATCTGACTGCATTTGGTTCCTGAACCCATCAGGCATTAAAACACGTTTTCTGATGAGTTTGAGCATTTATGGTTTAAATCTGAATGAGGAAACTAAACCACATTGAACCTCATATAACATATCATGTAACACATGTCACATTTACATGTAAAAATGCATCATTAACTGCACGTCTGCGAGGAGCACACATAGATGAGGCGCAGAAAGTGTGTGAATTCTCACTGAGAACAAAACGTTGTTGGATCATGCATATTTCAGAACAGCTCATCTCTGATGATTCCTCAGGTCAACAAGGTGCAGACCATCACATATGTCCATAAATAGCTGCATAAAGTTGAGCGTATTCATGCAATAATGGAAGCTTTGGTGACGCTGAAGAACATTGTCAAATGAAGAATTGGGAGGCAGCGTGTTTTGGGGGATCACACAGACCAAATACTGATTGGGTATTTCTCACCTGTCCCTGAGCATGTCCATGTCATCCATATGATGCCTAGATATACCAAATTTGTTGAAACACCTCGATAATGTGGTGGTGATGTGTAAAGTTGGATATGACTCAGCTTTACAAGTGTGCCACCAGCAGATCAGCACTCCCAGTTCAGTTAGTTATGGATTATTCAATGTGTACATGGACGATCTGTCAAAGCTTTTAAATGACTGTAGGGTTGGTAACAGGACCATCAACCATTTAATGTATGCTGATGATTTAGTAATCTTTTTTGTGTTCCTTATACTGCTGGCCTAAAAGAGCTGCTGCAGGTGTGTTCCAGCTATGGAAGAGATTTTGATATAAAATATAATTCTAAGAAAAGCAGCATCTTGATTGTGCGGAGCAGAGAGGACTGCCAGTTGATGTTCCCTGATTTCTTTCTGTCGGGCAATCGGCTGAATATCAGTGATGAATGTAAATACTTGGGGGACTATGTGACCTGTCAGATGATAGAGACATTTACAGACAATGTCGTATGCTCTATGGACAAGCTCACATGCTGATCCTTAGATTTGGACTGTGCTCAACATCAGTTAAGATCCAACTCTTTTATGCCTACTGCACTCCTGTGTATACCTGTGGAGACGTTATAAAAGGAGCAGTATGTATAGACTAAATGTGGCATACAATGATGACATACGGATGCTGCTGAGGGTTCCTCGATGGAGCAGTGCGAGCAACATATTTGTAGACGCAGGTGTGCCTACCTGCCCTGCGGTGCTGCGTAACCTCATGTTTAGATGCATGTGTAGGTTGTCTGAATCTGAAAACTGTATCATCACTACACTGACTATAGAGTCTATAGAAAAGCTTTTAAACTCTGTGTTCTTGTTGTATTTCTGTTCTTTTATGTGGATCATATGCAGTATTGTGTCTGAAATACGGCTGGGCGATACATCGATTTTTAAAATATCAATATAATTTAATTCATGATATAAAATGAGACTATATCAATATAAAACGATTTTGTACAGTTACAGCAGTTGTTAATAAATGTGCCTGTGTGACCACTGAGACAAAGCTTTGACTGAAATGTATTTTTGTTATTACTTTATGGAAAGAAAAAATATCAAGATATATATCGTATATCGCGATTTATCTTAAAATATCAAGATATTCATTTAGGTCTATATCACCCAGCCCTAGTATGAAATAAAGTAAATGAAGTGAAATGACATACATTTCAGCCAAAAGAAGAATAAGAAGATGAAGGCATGTCAGGGGAGGTGTTTCATGTGTGCTCAGTTCCACTTTGTCAAAATGAATATGAAGGGAAGGTGAGCACGAACTTGCGTGTGCACGGTTTGGTAAATCTAAATATTTCTGTGCACTCAGACTTTTCACATTTTGTCCCTACGCCAACTTTCAGCAAGAAAGCTGCACACTTGTTCATACATGAGGTCTCAGTCCTTTTATCCAACCTTTTGTGCTCATGAACATACTCTTGCTGTGTCTCTGATTATACTCCATTAATGCAAAATGACAGGAAAACACTTCACGATTTTATTTCTTCAGATTCAGCCTGAGGACAGAGCCATGGATCGGTGGAGCAGCGTTGTTCTTGTGGCAGTGTATTTCTGCAAAGATTTTATCAGAAATGCACAGTCTGCACCACTGCTGGATGTTGAAGGGCTTCAAGGCTCTAAGAGGCATCTTCTGGTGCAGACATACTACCGCACCTCGAATGACACTAACATGGGAAGTAAGTAACAAAATATCAGTTATGTACCAGTTCCTCGCAGTTCACAAACCAGGAATGTTTCAGAAAGTTAGTGCTTTACAACACTTCACCACACTGAGCAATAATAAATGCATGGAAATCTATTCAAAACAATTATTTTTGGTGTTTATCAGAGTCAGCCGATGCAAACGAGAGTCAACAATCCATACAGTGGTCCTATCTGGCAGCCGGGCTGGGTACACTCATGGCCCTCTCACTCCTTGTTGTGATGACAGTCAAGTTTCGCCTCTTCCATCGTTTTCTGGCCAGCTACAGACACTCCCTGCTGCAGGAGACTGACGGAGTCAGCCAGTACGGTCAAGATGACTTGTCCTTCCCCAACGTGTCAGGTCAGCTGGCAGTAGTCAGACAGACTTGCAGAGACCTGGAAGATGACGATGATGGATTCATTGAGGACAACTACATCCAGACCAGTGAGAAACACCAGGCCCACAGAGAAATCCAGGAGGAGGTGGAGGAGGGGGAGGACAGCGATGATGATCTTCAGTTCACCATAGGGTGATTATAATTATATAAGTTTATATAAAGGAGAAATATTCACAAGCTGCTGGTTTAGAACTGAAAATAAAAATGGAGGTTTGCCTTGTGGCTTTGACCTCTTACAAAGAACGACAGATGCACAAACAACATGACAAACAAGTTTTGTTTAATACCATAAAATAAGTTTATCATGTTTTTTTATTGTCTTACAGTTTGCAACATCTACATTTATTACTTGATCATTTTGATAAATAGACGTAGTGTGAGAATTCGGTTTATGTGAAATCTGTTGCACACAAAATTTGTTCAGCACAGTAAAGATTGATTTTGTTTGGAAAAACCAACTTTTAAAACGTGGTAAACTTAAGAATGTTTCTATCACAGAGGGGTTTTTTTGTTTTGTTTGTTTGTTTGTTTGTTTCAAATAACACACAAGACTAAGTTCAAAAGTTGTAAAATGGCCATGAATGTTTTATAAAAACTATGTTTTTCTTGTTTGTTAAGTTGAAATTATTCATTTTAATTAGTAAATTTTCAACATTTTTTAGACATTAACAGATTACCGTAAAGTCTACAGAAGTGTTTGTGAAGCATCGAATATATGTAAAAACATTACCAATACTCAATTGGTGTTTAAAATATTCCTGAGTAATACAAATCATAGAAAGATTATCCACCATAGGCAAAATGATGCATTTGTACCTTTGAACAGTGATGTCCGCTGTCCCCTGCTGTTAATGGAGGCACCAGCCTAGCAATGGTTTAAATCCATTGAAAATCTACTAACTGACCTTTTACAGTGGTGGAGTCGTCTATTCAAAGTCAGTATTTTCAATGCATTGAGGTTCGTGGCTTTATCTGAATCCAGTTAAATTTCATTTGTCATTTGTGTATATTTGTATCTATGAATTACCTTATTCAGTTAAAAGCTATTAGAAGTTATTGTTTAGTTTGATCTTTCATCTTTGCACTAACTTTCACCAATTTTGGGGAGTGGTGGTGCAGAAGTTAGAGAAGATGGGCCTGTGATCGGAAAGTCACAGGTTCAACTCCCCGGACTGACAACATCAAAATGTTGGTGGAAGAAGTGAAACTCCCTCACCTGCCTCCACCCTCATTTGCCCCATTCTGGGCCCTTGAGCAAGGCTCTTAACCCCCATCATCTGCTCCCAAACAGGTCTCTCTTGAAAATGAGTTCTCGTGACTCATTGAGACTACGTGTATAAATTAAGGGTAAATGAAAAAAATTGGTGTGAATCCACACTGCGTATTTTTCAGCTTAGCTCTGCAGTCATTCTGACACCTGGCAACACTGCATGTTGAGAACATGCTGCTTTCACAATGTAAAACACCACCAATACAAATGTATAAATATGTCAGTTCACATAAGCTGGAGGCTAATTTTGGGTTTTCAGTTGTTGGTTGGTGGTCCATAAGCAAACCACTGTGTTTAGGAGGAGGGAGCCCTTGGAGGTGAGTTGGCCGAAATTGAATCTGTGTTTGAACAACAGGAAGGCACAACTAAATCTGTGGAGCATCAATATAATATACCTACCCTAGGACTAACTTTATCGTGTTCCTTGAGAAACTGCTGCTGACTGACCCATGGTGGGATGCACATGCAGATTTTTCTGTCTTAAATAAATCACTGCACTGAAACAACTTTGAGTGTCTCATTTGTGTCACTTTTGCTGGTCCCAGTTCTAAAAGTTGAGTAAAGTGAGTAAAATTGGAACTGTAACTTATAAAAATAAAAATCAGCATAGGAAACTGTACTTATAGTTTCTTTTATTACATACTGTATGTAAATATAATGTTCATTATTTATAGTTCTAAACATATTCAGGCTATTTTATGGACATTTTGTCTCTCTTACAACATTATTCCTCTCTGGACAGTTAAGCAAATTAGGTTATAATGTTGTTTGGCAACTTTTTGCCATAACAAGTCAGTGGAAAATTTGGACCCAGAATGCAGGCTGACGTAAGGAACTTCAAAAGTAAACTAAAATAATTTAATTTTACAAAAGAACAAAGGGTTGATGTGGCAGCAAAACCTACAAACACGGGGAGCATGAATGAGACTGGAGCTTGTAGCATGAAAGACATTAATGAACTGATAATGGGGTGATGGCAGCAAACCGAACATATAGAGCAGAGGTAGATGAGAAGTGGAGGCACCTGGCTTGATGACTGATTGGAGACAGGTGAGAATGGCAGACTGACAGGACAAACATTAAGGTGGATGACTGAAGGTGAATAGGCAAAGAGAGCACAGGGAAGATGGCAACACAGTGGCACAGGCGCACTGCTGCCCCCCAGTGAGAAGGTTACCAGATCGAATCCCACCTGGGGGTCTTTCTGAGTGGAGTTTGCATGTTCTCTCCGTCCATGCATGGGTTTTCTCCAGGTACTCTGGTTTCCTCCAACAGATCAGAAACATGCATGTTAGTCTGATTGGTAACTCTAAATCAGGGATGTCAAACTCCAGGCCTCGAGGGCTGGAGTCCTGCAACTTTTAGATGTGTCTCTGATTCCACACAGCTGAATCAAATAAGGAGGTCATTAACAGGACTTTGGAGAACTTGACTGCACTGAGAAGCTAATTCAGTCATATGATTCAGGTGTTTTGGATCAGTGGAACATCTAAAAGTTGCAGGACACTGGCCATCGAGGCCTGGAGTTTGACACCCCTGCTCTAAATTGTCTCTAGGTGTGATTGAGAGAGTGAATGGTTGTTTGTCTCCTTTGTCTCTATGTGTCCCTGTGATGGGCTGGAGACCTGTACAGGGTGTCCCCCACCTCTCACACAGTGACTGCTGGATATGGACACCACTGACCCCTCGAGCCTTGAAAAGGAAGAAGCAGGTATGGATGGATGGATGGATGGATGGATGGATGGATGGATGGATGGATGGATGGATGGATGGATGGATGGATGGATGGATGGATGGATGGATGGATGGATGGATGGATG